GCGATAGGAAGCAATATCAGTTAAGGGCACAAAAGGAAAACAGAAACCTCTCTACAAATTTCAACAAAATGAATTTAATACAGGGAATTGGTTAACACATGTACTAAATGGCTGAGAGAGTGATGCATCCCCATTGAGATAACCTGGTATTAATACTGCAGGAAGCATTTTCCACCCCATTGGACTGGTGGTATTATTAGAACTTGGGAGTGCCCAGAATGACTCTTGGGGCAGGTGGTGAAACCATGGAACAGAGGGGCTGATGCTGAAACTGGGATTACCAAAGGACAGATCCTCTTCACTTCTAAAGCCACTGTCTGAAGGGATGGGGCTTTCCCCTTCCTCCTGCCAATGCTTCCTGTTAGTAAAGACTAATAGGAAATGTAGTTTATATATGTCTAGCCACGATATTATTATGTGGAATAGAAAAGGGTGAATGTGGGACTGGGAGACAATAATAGAGGATGAGTCAGTAAAAGGTTTAGATTAGGGGAGGGAAATAATCTGTAGATTGCAAAAAAGATTAATATGTTTATGGCAATTTCCCTTCTGGAGTTTACAAAACTATCTCCATTTATGGTAGTATTATCCAGTGAATTCCAGTCACTCAACTTAAAGCCTGCTGATCTTACATCCTCTTTCCTATAGGTACCTACCTATGAGTTATACAAAAGAATCTAATAACAATAGATACCATTTGTTGAATACCTGCTGTGTCATAACACATTATAATTTCTCATTTAATTTTCACAATAAACCTATAAACTGGGTGCCATTGTTATGTCCATTTTACAGTAAAGGGAACTGAGGCTGAGGAGGTAACCTAATAAATGGCATTGCTGACTCTGAACTAGGGCTTTCTGACCCAAAACCTGTGCTCCTACAGTTATAGCACAGTATCTAGTCTAGAATTCTGGGAGGAACTCCTCAATAAGAACCTCAAAATGAAAGCTAATTAATTGATGTCCAATTTCTTACTTGTGAGATTCCCAGTGGGAATTCTGTATTAGTTGAGCAAGACACACAATACTCAGGATCTTCTGTGTCTTGAACTTTTTAAGCTAATGATACTCAAACTACATGCTTAAAAAATGTTTTTCACTGTAGGGTAAATGTTCTCACTTTTACCTATAAATTGTATCATTCTCTTCCTAGCTGAAAAGTTCTAAGTTCTAAGATTTATTTCCTCCTTCACTTTACTGTTAGTGTTTCCTTTTTAATCAGGATATTTTGTTAAGTACATAAAGTTTAGTTAAAAGATAGACTAGTGTGAAATATTATGCAAATAATTTGATCAGACCACAGTGACTGGAAGAGAAATAATTCCTCTGGAGGGAGAGCTGAAATTCCTTAGCAGAACCTATCTGGCCCTTTTTTGAGGTTAATGGCAATGCAAAAGATAAACAGTATTTGGAGATCATTGAAACCTGAAGCAAACCTATGAAATACCATTATGCTCTACCTACATTTCAATTCAGAAAGAGAAGCATTGTACATACGTTAGTAAGAGAGTGTTATTTTAAAGTATAGCATGGAATGTGTTTTGTAGAAGTAGGCCCGTTGGTTGATGCTAATTGTTAGGTTTCGCAGATGCCTAAGTGGAATGACTTTTCCTCTTTGTAGAAAACCTATGGGATGGGAGGCCAAGGTGGGCGGATTACCTGAGGTCAAGAGTTTGAGACCAGCCTAGCCAACATGGTGAAACCCCGTCTCTTCTAAAAATACAAAAATTAGCTGGGCATGTTAGTGCGCGCCTGCAATCCCAGCCACTCAGGAGTCTAAGGCAGGAGAATCGCTTGAACCTAGGAGGTGGAGGTTGCAGTGAGCCAAGATTACGCGACTGCACTCCATAGCCTAGGTAACAGAGTGAGATTCCATCTAAAAGAGTGAGATTCCAAAAAAAAAAAAAAAAAAAAGACTAAAGCTTCAGGCAATATAGTAACAGTTGTCTTGACTCTGCATAATAATGGTATATTAACATAACATGAACAGCGCCAGCAATGCTTGACCATTTTGCTTAAAAATGTGTTGTTGTTTCTTCCCAATTGGATTCCTATACTAGTTCAGTGTTAATTGTTATTGTTGTTTAAATTAGAAGCCAAGATCTGTAACAGAATCCTCCAGGCAGATATATTCTGTTTTAGGCACTGTACTACATTAGGTTTTTGTCAGAGTGCTACCATTCCTAAGATTTCTTTCCTCTCGCATTTCATACTGTAAATAAAGTACCACAAGTTTTCTGTAACATTAATTCCTGAAAGACCTATTAGGCTATGAAAACCAACTTCAAGGTGGTATAGTCATTGTAAAAATAGTATCATCTGGCTGAAATTTGATTCCTTTTGTAATCCATGTTATCTACTCAAGGTGAAGTTCTTGTGTTTTGTACACACTTCTGGTTTGTTTCCTTGGTTGACCTACTATGGACAGCTTCTATATAGGTAAACAAGGGTGGAAAGACATTACATTTTTAGTTGCTCTGTTTATTAATTCTTTGAAGTTATCTGAGTTCCTAGTTTCATGTGATTACTTATGCCTTGCCATGAATTAAGAAATAATTCTACATTTATTGACCAGAGGGGAGAGAAGCAGTTCTCAAACTGTTTGGCCCACTACATCATTCTTAAAAAATTTTTGAAGACCCACAAAGAGCTCCCCTTTATATCTATCAACATTTGCTCTATTAGAAATTAAAGTAGAAATTTTAAAAATATTTATTTCATATTATTAAATACAGCAACAATAAACCCACTATGTGTTAGCATAAATAACATTTTTAAATGAAAAATCACAATATATATTTTTACTTTTAGAGATAGGGTCTTTGTTACTCAGGCTGGAGTACAGTGGCATGTAACCTTGCCACTGTACTTACTGTAACCTTGAACTTCTGGGCTCAAGCGATCCTCCTGCCTCAGCCTCCTGAGGAGCTAGGGCTACAGGCATGTGCCACCATGCCTGCCTAATTTTAAAAATTTTTTCGTAAAGACGAGGTTTGGCTGTATTGCTCAGGGTGGTCTCAAACCCTTGGCCTCAAGAGATCCTCCCATCTCGGCCTCCGAAGGTGCTGGGATTACAGGTGTCAGCCACAACACCCAGCCCACATTTTTAATTAAATGTCTTATTTTGACATAATTACAGATTTGCTTGCAGTTGCAAAAGATAATACAGAGAGACACCATGTATAGCCAGTTTCCCTCAATGGTATAATCTTCTAAAACTATAGCACAATATCAACTAGATATTGACATTGATACAGTCAAGATATAGAACAGTTCGGTCACCACAAAGATCCCTTCTGCCCCTGCCACCAAAGTCTAGCAACCACTTATTCTGTTCTCCATTCCTATAATTTTATCGTTTCAATAATGTTATACAAATGGAATCATACAGTATGCAACTTTTTGGGATTGGCTTTATTAACTCAGCATAATTTCCTAGATATTCATCCAAGTTGTGTGTACAAGTTTGTTCCTTTTCACTGCTCAGCAGTATTCCATGGTATGGATATATCACAGTGTATTTAGTGATTCACTTTTTGAAGGACAGCCATGTTGTTTTCAGTTTTTGGCTATTATAAACATGGCCGCTATGAACATTTCTGTACAGGTTTTTTGTGTAAACGTAAGTATTCGTAAGTATTCATGTCTTGGGAATAAATGCCCAGAGTACAATTGCCGGGCTATATTGTAGTTGCATGTTTAGTTTTGTAAGAAACTGCCAAACTGTTTCCCAGAGTGGCCATGCTCTATATTTTATATTCTCACCAGCAATGTGTGAGTGATTCAGTCTCTCAGGATCCTCACCAGTATTTTGTATTGTCATTATTATTATTGGGGAGTGGAAGTGGCATGTTTCCCACGTTTTTATCGTGGTAAAATACATATAACATAAAATTTATCATTTTAACCATTCGTTAGTGTGCAATTCAGTGGCATTAAGTACCTTCATATTGTTGTACAGCCATCACTACCATCCATTTCCATAACCCTTTTCAGCTAACAGACCTGAAATTCTACACCCATTTAACAATAACCATTCCCTCCTCTCTTCAGCTCCTGGCAACCACATTCTACTTTGTCTCTACAAATGTGACTATCTAGGTGTCTCATATGAGTAGAATCATATTCTTGTTTTGTAACTGGCTTATTTCACTTAACACAGTTTTATCCATATTTTAGCATGTGTGAGAATTTACTTCCCTTTTAAGGGGAAATAGTATTCCACTGTATGTATATACCACGTTTTGCTGATGCATTCATCTGTCAATGGATACTTGCGTTGCTCCCACTTTTTGGCTATGGCTGCCATGAACATAGGTGTACAAATACCTCTTCAAGACCCTGCTTTTAATTCTTTTGAGTATATATTCAGAAGTGGAATTGCTGTGTGATATGGTAATTCTGTTTAATTTTTTTTTTTTTTGAGACAGAGTCTCACTCTGTTGCCAGGCGCCAGGCTGGAGTGCAGTGGCATGATCTTGGCTCACTGTAACCTCCGCCTCCTGGGTTCAAGCAATTCTCCTGCCTCAGCCTCCCGAAGTAGCTGGGACTACAGGTGCACGCCACCACACCCAGCTAATTTTTTTGTATTTTAGTTGAGACGGGGTTTCACCATGTTGACCACGATGGTCTATATCTCCTGACCTTTTGATCCTCCCACCTCGGCCTCCCAAAGTGCTGGGATTACAGGCATGAACACCACACCTGGTCATTCTGTTTAATTTTTTAAAGAACTGCCATATCGTTTTTCATAGTGGCTCTACAATTTATATTTCTACCATCAGTGCATGAGGGTTTTAATTATTTCTCCTATCTCCACAAACATGTATCATTTTCTGTTTTTTTGTTGTTGTTGTTGTTGAGACAAAATTTCTCTCTTGTTGCCAGGCTGGAGCACAATGGCTCCAGTCTTGGTTCTTGGTCTCCTTCACCATGGAATATTATCTTCTGGCCATCTTTCATGCCTTTGTCAATATGAACTTCTAGAATCTACTTCTCTCGAACTATCTTCCTTCCATTGCAGCTTTTACATCTACCTTTAGGACTGATCCACTCCCCATGGCCCTGGAATTCCATGCAGACAGACTGAATTTGCTGAACCATTCCAGGTCCTATCTAATGAATTCTTATTTGCATTCCAGTACCTCAGCAATTGGGACAGCACTCTACTGCTCCTTTCTTACCTCCTCTACCTTCGCATTTGTCACAAATCACATTCTTTTGCAGAGCCAGTTTTCTTGTTGCACCATTATATAAGTCTTCTAGGGTTACTGAGAGCTGATGTACAACATTTTTACCTCTCCTTTCTCTCTGCATCCTTCCTCCTCCTCCAAAAAACATATCAAAGATGTCAATGGGGGAGCCAAAACTGCCACCTGCTCCACCCTCTTTAATTGCCTGTTCTCCTCCTTTGTCATATAATTCCCTTTTCTTTGCATCAGAGAGAACTTCGTAAGCTTGAGAAATCTGTTTAAACTTCTCTCCTTCATTTGGATTCTTATCAGGATGGTACTTCAAGGCCAGTTTCCTATAAGTCTTTTTCAATTCTTCCTGAGTAGCATTGGGTTTGACTCCCAAAACATCGTAGTAAGTGGTTTCTTTCACCATCTTCTACTGCCGGTGGGCGGGCTGAGGTCGGTGTGTGAGGGAGTGGGAAGCAGCTCGGAGCTGTGCGCAGCTCGGCCAGCTACCGCTCCTCCGCCTCTCACTGAGCGTTCTGGAAAGTTCCTTATATATCCATTCTTATACCAGTTTCAATTTTTTTTCTTAACTGTAGCTTTGTAGTAAGTTAGGAAATTGGGAAGTATGAGTCCTCCAAATTTGTTTTTCTTATTCAAGATTGTTTTGGCTATTTGGATTCCTGTGCTTTTTCATATGTATTTTAGAATGGCTTCTCTATTTTTGCAAAAAATGCCTTTGGAATTTTGCTAGGGATTGCATTGAATATGTAGATAGCTTTGGGGAATATTGCCATCTGAATAATAGTAAGTCTTCTAATACATGAGTGTGGGATATCTTCTCATTTATTTAGATTTTAAAATTTTCTTTTAGTGTTTTATCATTTTTAGTATACAAATCTTACATCTTTTTGGGTAAATTTATTCCTAAGTATTTAATCCTTTTGATGCTATTATAAAAGGAATTTTAAGACATTTCTTATTATATTACTTATTGCTAGTTTATAGCAATTCAATAGATTTTTACATGTTTTTTTTAATCATAGATTTTTGGTAAATTTGTTTATTAGCTCTAGAAATGCTCTTTGTGGATTCCTTAGGCTTTTCTATATATATATGTGATCATGTCATCTGAAAACAGAAGTAGTTTTACTTCTTCCTTTCCAATTTGGATGACTTTTATTTCTTTTCCTTGCCTAATTACTCTGTCTAGGATTTCCAGTGCAATGATGAATATAAGTGGTAGAAGCTATCATCCATGTCTTGTTCTGACTACTGTGGGAAATCTTTTGGTCTTTCACTATTGAGTTCATATGATGTTAGTTGTAGGTTTTTCCTAAATGTCTAATCTGTTGAGGAAATTCTCTATTATCACTAAAATAGTGAATGTTATTTTTATCATGAAAGGGTTTTGGGTTTTGTCAAAGGATTTTACTAGATCAGTTGAGATCATATGGTTACTCCCCCCCTCTTTATTCTACTAATGTGGTATATTACATTGATTGTATTTCATATATTGAACTACCCATGCATTCCTGGGATGAATCTGCTTTATCATCATGTATAATTATTCTAATGTGCTTCTGGATTTGGTGTACTAGTATTTTGTTTGGGATTTTTGCTTCTGCGTTCATAAGGGATATTGGCCTATAGGTTCTTTCCTTGCATTGTCTTTGTCTGAGTTGGTGTCGAGGTAATGCCAGCCTCATGGAATGAGTATTTCCTCCTCTTCTATTTTTTTGAAGAATTTGAAAAAGATTAGTTTTTATTCTTCTTTAGACGTTTGGTAGAATTCACCAATGAAATCATTTAATTCTCAGCTATTTTTTGGTTGGGTGGTTTGTGGTGATTTGTGGTGATTGATTCAATCTGTTTATATGTTATAGGTCTATTGAGATTCTGTTTCTTCTTGAATCAGTTGTGGTAGTTTGTGTGTTTCTAGGACTTTGTCCATTTCATCCTGGCTGTATAATCTTTTGGTATACAGTAGTTTATTATATTCCCTTATAATCTTTTTTATTTCTGTAAACTTAGTAATAGTGTTCCCATTTGCTTTTTTGAGACAGGATCAGTCTCACTCTGTCACCCAGATTGGAGTGCAGGAGCGATCAGAGATCACTATAGCCTCAATCTCTTAGGCTCAAGTGATTCTCCTGTTTAGATTTCTCAGTAGCTAGGACTATAGGCATGTGTCACCACACCCAGCTAATTTTTTTATTTTTGTCTTTTTGTAGAGACGAGGTCTCACTATGTTGCCTAGGCTGTCTCAAACTCATGGGCTCAAGCCATGCTCCTGACTTGGTCTCCCAAAGTGTTGGGGTTACAGGTGTCAGCCACCATGCCTGGCCTGTGTCACCATGCCCCAGCCTGTTCCCAGTTTAATATTTGATTTTAGTAATTCAAAATCAAAGTCTCCTTTTTTTAAAGTCATTTTAGCTAAGGTTTGTCCGTTTTGTTGGTCTTTTCAAATAATTAACTTTTGGTTTTACCAATTATTTTGTTTTCCTAATTGTATATTTCATTTATCTGAACTCTAATCTTGATTATGTACTTTCTTGTTCTTGCTTTGGATTTGGTTTGCTCTTTTTTTTCTTGTTAATTAAGGTGTACAATTAGATTATTGACTTAAGATTTTTTGCTAATGTAGGCTATGAATTTCCCTCTGAGCACCACTTTCACTGCATTTATATGTTCTTATATATTGTATTTTATTTTCATTCATCTCAACATATTTCTAATCATTCTTGTGATTTCTTCTTTAACCTATTGTTTAAACTGTTATAATTTTAATGGCCATAGCGAAATTCTCTGTGTTATTCCTGATACAGATGATTTATATATTATATCTTTCCAGTCTTGCTAAAGGTTTATCAATTTTATTGATTTTTTCCAATAAAGAAGCATTTGATTTATTGATATTCTCTATTATTTTCTTTCTATTTTTTTTAGATATGGGGTCTTGCTATGTTGCCCAAGATGGCCTTGAACTCCTGGACTCAAGCAATTCTCCTGCCTCAGCCTCTTGAGTAGCTGGAACTATAGGCCCACACCACTCTACCTCGCTAATATTCTCTGTTGTTTTTCATTTCATTTACTTTTGTTTCTTATTTTCTTCTTTCCACTTCCTTTGGATTTAATTTGCCCTTCTTTTTCTATTTTCATGAGATGATTATTTAGATTATTGGTTTGAGAACTTTCCTATTTTTGAATGTAAGCATTTAGCAGTATAAATTTCCCTCTCAGTACTAGTTTAGCTATGTTCCATATATTTTGATATGTATATTTTCAAACAGAAAAACATTTAAGATACTTATTATTGCATCATGGAATTTTCAGTACCTAGTCTAATGGCCCTTAATTTCCTCAACTGTGGCCCCTTTCCTTCATTCAAGCCTCTCTTAAATCATGGTTTCTAAAATGTAGAAGTCTGGATTGGTCTAGCTATTGTAGAATAGTGCTAGACTATCTGTTCATTCCTTTGTTTATCATTCACATTGATTTACCCATTCATTCATTCAGCAAACATTTACTGAGGTCCTATACCAGTCATTGTGCTGGCTAAAAATATAGAGATGTTTAAACAGACATACTCCTTCCCTTTATGGCTCTGTCTGGCAAAGATAACAAATAATTAAACAAATAGTTTCAAGGGTCACCGCTATCTCTCTTACTGTAGAAAGTCTGCTACCATTAACACAAAGCTAGGTTAAAATTCTATGAGTTTTTGTGTGTGTGTGTGTGTTTTTTTTTTTTTCGAACAAGTTCTGCCATTTTCTATCCTATTTTCAAAAGTCTTTGCCACCGTGAACCTAGTGTGATCCTCAGCTGGTCTGCACTCGATAGGTGATGCCAGTTGCTTAAAGCTGACTTCTTTCTGATTGGTTAAGGCTGTGGTTAAATGTTTTGAAGATCATCCCTGACCTGATCCTTGACTGCAAACATCTCTGTCTGTCCCTTTGTATTGATCACTCTTTTGTGATACAATCTGAGCCCATAATGGAGTAGCACCTTAGCTTTGGGTTGAGTGATTAAATTTTCTAAAGTTCTATTAGTTAGGTCCTTTCATTGTCACCGAACCCTCCAATAGATATAGGCCCCAACTGACAGATGAAGAAATTGAGACCCAGAGAGGCTAAGCTACTTGCCCAGGTTGGGAAAATCAAGAACAGATACAGGTTTTTAGATTCCCACCTAGGCCTTTACTTTGGCCTCAATCTGTCTGTTCCTAGTTGACCATTAAATATATTTTAAAGAGGGCAAAGTCCAATTGCATAATAGATCTGCCTGTCTGAAACATGATGATTAGTGCTAATGGCTGGGTATTACCTGGCATGCATGTGTTAGGTTTACAGTAAAGAATGTCTACTTTTTATTAACTGTCCTTTTAGATATATTAGTGACTGTCACACCTGAATTATAACAAAGAAGCACTAGAGAAATTCAATGTGGGCGGCAAAATTCTTTGAAGAATAACTAGTTATAATTGGGGAGTCTGAACACATTTCAGAGTTGCACGTTTAATATGCAGTATGGTTAATTGCACTGTAATTACAGTATTTTAGAATGCCATGCTAAGTGTTTAATCCTTTTCAGGTTTGCCCTCCAATCAGTGGCCTGCCTTCATTTTCCAGATTGATGAAGTCTGCCTCAGAGAAGGGGGTAGGTAACAAGGCTGTGCGATGTGTCTAATCAGCTGGAAAAGTTGTAAAATGTATCTTTCCTATCTGGAATTTATATTTAATCATAGTTATGTTCTTTTTGTGAATGTGTGTTGATGAGTTAGTTGTCAGAATAGGAAAACAATAAGAGCTTTTATTTATACAGATAAGTTATGCTGGAGTAATTATTTAGGTCTGATTGACTTGATGGAGATTTTTACATTACCTCAGCACACAGAGCCACTTAATCTTATTCATAATGTTAATTATATACTCCAAGAGTTACTACCATGCTCTTATTTACAGTGTTTACTATTCAGGTTTGTTTTATATGTGATGACTTGTGGATCCCTCTTTTTCACTGGACCATGCCCTTTTTACAGTTGCAAAATGCACCTCCACTCATAGAAACTGATCTTCAGCAGTTTATTCACAGAGTTCCTGATCCTATCTAACTTGGGGAAGGAAACTCTCTTTGGTTTCAGAGTTGGTTAAGATTATGTCATTGAATTGACTTTTAATAGATTTTTTTTTTTTTGGCTCATGCCTATAATCCCAGCACTTTGGGAGGCAAAGGATCATTTGAGGTCAGGAGTTTAAGACCAGCCTGGCCAACATGGTAAAACTCCGTCTCTACTGAAAATACAAAAATTAGCTGGGTAGTAGTGGCACATGCCTGTCATCCCAGGTGCTTCGGAGGCTGAGGCAGGAGAATCGCTTGATCCTGGGAGGTGCAGGTTGCACTGAGCTGAGATCGGACCACTGCACTCCAGTCTTGGTGAAGGATTTTTTTTTTTTTTTTGCCTTTATGTATTTGCATATGGCTTTTCAGTGACTGGAGTTTTCTTTCCCTGTATACCCACTGCAAACTATTATTTATTTTTTTAG